CCTGATTGATATGTTATATGGCTTTATTATAACACATTCTGTAAATTTAAATTTCACCACCAGTGGGATTTGAACTCTTGTCCTGCCACTTGGGGATGTGATAACTTACCAACTACACTAAGTTATCACACCTATAACAAAAAATTGGTACTTTAATAAGACTTTATTATAATAAGATAATCTTTAAAAATTAGCCAATTATGATAAAGCTCATTATGCTGGCAAATGGCTAAATATATATAAAGATATAAGTAGTCATATTAGTGTATTTAATAAATTTAATATCTCGATTTCAAACTCTCTTTATAATAGCAGAATTGTTAATCTACTTAATGAATAATCTAGGTTTATACTGTGTATGAAGACAATATGATTTTAAATTATATATGAAGGCACAATTAGGTTATTAATCATGCATAAAGATACGAATAAGTTTTTATTTAATAAAGATAAGTTATTAATTAACAGTTACACAAATTGTCACACAGATCAGAAGTTTAAAATTTTTAATATGAAATTTAAATGATTGGCATCTATATAACAAGCCTATTTTTAATAGTAAATTGCAATAGTAGCTTTTTTTAAAAGCCATTTTCAGAGGTTTCTTAAAAGAAAACTGTACTGATAAAACTATATATGCCACCAAAATAGGTTTTTAAAATTCATATTTTGTCTCCATTAGAGTAATTTGAATTTTTTATATGCAAGAGTAAATCTAATTTAGGTAATTATATTCTTTATAATTTTATCTCTTCAAAAAATTGTCAAAATTTCATCTTTTAAATAAAATAAGTCAAAAATAATTTTGTCTTTAAATTTTAATTTTGTACTCTGAAATCTAAAATAATTTTGTTAGTATATATAAATAGGACTAGGTATAATGGTTTAGCTATACAAATACTTTGTGATTTTGTAGTTTTAACTGAAAACAATAATAAAGCTAAGAAGAATCATATCTTCATAAATATCCCTTCATTCTATTTTTGTGTATATGTATGGTATATAGTATTTGCAATACAACAGATCCTTTTTGCTTTAATACTTTTAAGTAAAACCTCCTTATTCACCCAAGATTATAAACTTTAAAAAATATTAAAAAGAATCTCAGCTTTCAAATATAACTCATAAGAAGGTATGTAATTTATATTTAGAAAGTGTTGTTATAATTACTTTCTAAATTTAGAACTATTATAATGTAGATTTTTCATTCCTAAATCCCAACTTTAGCCAAATTAATATTTTAAAAACTTTATTAATAATCTTTATTTAAACAAATAGTACTGTTGACCACTGAATATAATATTCTCTAGCCTATTTTTTGAATAAGATCCAGAATATAATTATATTAATTTATTACTTTTAATATAATATATCTTCAAGAATAGTATCTAGTTCTTCACAGTACTATAGGTACTATTTAATTTTAAAAGTGAAATTCTTGAATAAGATCCCAAATATTGTATGCAGTGGGTCAATAGTATGTATTTATATATAACTATTTGCAAAATATTGCTTTTTGAAGTTTGGGATTTGTTCAAGTTTGGTGGTTAGTTATAATGTTTAAATAAGAGATCTATATTATACAATTTGATTATTAATTATAAAATAATATTAAAGCTTTTAATTATGTTTCATTAGATTTGAGTTCACAATTTGAATTAATAAAAAATATATATTGATGGTTTTAGAATTAATGTATAGAAATTTTAACAGAAATAGATAATGTATTTATTTTTAAATGAGTGATATTTAGACTTTATTTTATTTTCTGATAAATTTGTAATAATGATTTTTGTCATTGAAAAGTTGTTAAATGAGAGTCTCTAAACACTTCTATTTTATTTTTTGATTTTAAAATTTTAATATACATATAAGTACTACAAAACAAAAATCTGCAATTTTGGTTTTTGTTGATTCAACTTTTCTAAAACAGTGATCAAATCTCTGATGAATTATAATAAATTCTATAATAAATTCTATTTAATGAATTATTTGTCTGATAAAACATTTCTATAAAATTAATTTGGAAAACTTATAATTGCAGGTTTTCCTTTTGCAATACTCAAATAAGATTTTTAAGCTTTTACTCTTTTAATTATAAAATATGATGTTTTGATAAACCTGACAAATCTGACACACCTGAGAAAAATTATTAGAAATACTTCTTGTATATTCAGCTCCTAAACTATTAATAAATCATTCAAAAAATTATTAGTATTATTAAATATACCTATTTTTATAAAAAAATAAAAATTATAAAATTCTAAACAAATTTGGGATCAATGATATAACCATTATATAGAAGCAAAAAAACAAAATTATAGTCCTAAATTTAGATAATTAAAGATATTGTATTAAATAATTTAATATTAATAATAAATTAACAAAGTTATATAAAAATAAAACTTTTTTTTAAACAAAAGTAAATTATAAAAAACTGTTAAATTAATATGATCTACCTACCTATTCATAAACAGTGTTTCCTGATTTTCTTTGTTACGTTCATAATGCACTAGCCATTTGCACATGCATTTTGGTGAAAGCTCTCAACTCGGCACACCTAGTGATCTACTTTTTATAGCAGGTAATTGTAAACTGAAGAAGAATCATGCGAGAGAAGACAAAAAAATAACACAGTTTTAAAGCTATATTACTTTACAAGGGCAAGCTAGTTGTTAATATTTTTTATACTTTCTAATTCGTGAAAACTTCAGCAACAAAGTTTGCTTAAAGAACATTACGTGCTGCAGCTAAGGTATTGGAAGAAAATTTAAAAAATGTAAATTCGTCAATTTGTGTAATTTATGAAAATTATATGATAAGCAATCGTAACCTCTGTACTACATTGATGCACGTGAGGTAAATCAAGTGTTACTCGAGTGAATTTCCAAGTCTAATAATAACTTGATTTTTAAAAGTTACTATGAAATACCAATATAACTTTGAAATATAAAGACTTTTATTTCATATTGCGTAGAGATGCAGTAAAATAAGAATAATTAGATGAAAATTGACAATTATATACATTTTAATTAGCATCATTTGTATTTTTACTGGTGTTATGATTCTTTATAGCATCCGCATAAGCGATAGTGCCTAATTTCCTATTAAATTTCTTCCAGATATTCGCCAACAAGCTGGCTTCTAAAATTTTGTTTAAAATCGACGCAATAGTTATGTTAACGTCGTTAAGTGAATCAAAAATAATTCTTTAGTGAGTAAAGAATAAGAGTAATTTTCACTCTTTGAGCCAAGCTTCTTCTGGTACATTGATCAAATACGTGTACTAGTTTGCCTCCCGTGCAAGCTCATGGTTATTAAATTTATTTGTAGTGATGTAAAATGTAAAAAAATATATTGCTATGAAAACGGAATTGGAATCGTAAAAGATTTGAGAAAGGCATAGATTCATTATCAAAAATCTGCAGATATGGGTAATGATTTGGGAACATATATGATTGGATATCATTATGAAAAATGAGTTGAAGTTAAGAGAAATGAATATAAAACACTTGAATATTATCGGAAATCTTCAGAAATAGGTAACGATATAGGACCATTTAATGTTGGATGTTGTTATTTGAATGGAAATGGGGTTGAAAAGGATGAAACTAAAGCATTTAAATATTATTTAAAATCAGCAGAAATGGGAAACATAAAAGGAACATATAATGTTGAATCTTGTTATCATAACAGAATTGGAGTTGAGAGAGATGAACACAAGGCATTTATTTACTACCATAAATCAGCTGATATGGGCCACATTGTGGAATAAATAACATTGGTTATTGATATGAAAATGGAATGGGGTTGAAAAGAATGAAAATTTGGCATTTGCTTATTACAAAAAATCAGCTGATATTGGTGATGCATCCGGAATATTTTTGGTTATCATTACGATATAGGTGTCGAAAAAGATGAACGTAAGGCGTCGAAAAGCAGTGGGGATGGGAAATGATACTAGTATGTCTTATCTTGGTTATTGTTACAGAAATGGTATTGGGAACATCAATAGATATAGACAATGCCAACTATTGGTTTTCAAATGAAAAAAGTTAAATGGGTTTACTAAATCAGAGTACAGATATCTTGATATTGATATTAATATTAGAAAATTACTGATATGGATTCCTTACGATGAGTTTAATGATATTATAGAAATCGGAAGACTGTATATTTCGCAAGATGGATTGTTAGAAATTCTCTTGATAAAAATATTACTGTTCAAAACGTTGCACTTAAAGAATTTCATAATAATGAATATATAAATGAGGTATATTTATTTTATTTTAAATCTTTATTAATTTAATTGTATATATTATTAATTAAGGTTTTTTTTAAGATGAATTTTTATTTTGAAATAGGTGTTGATAGTCCATCTTTTATAAAATGTTACGATGAATCAAGAAATAAGAAAAGAAATTATATTCTTGTGATGAAATATGCGGAGAGGGGTTCTCTTCGATGAAATCTCGGGATTGTATCAAGAATAACAACAGAGTGGAAATACAAGATTGATTTGTTGCTTAGTATAACTCATGATTTGAAGGCGATTCATTCAAAAAATATTGTTCATCGAGATTTACATAGTGGGAACATCTTACAAGATAATTTACATAGCGCGTATATTTCAGATTTAGGCCTTCTATTCAGTATTTAAAAGAAAATGATGGACAATTTATGGAATTTTGCCTTTCATCGCCCCAGAAGTTCTAAAATGGAAATTATACACTATCGCATCAGATATTTATTCATTTGGCATGATTATGTGGGAAAGTTTGTTTTGTATGCCTGTTTCGGTAAGTGAAGATACACCACGTTGTTATGTAAATTTAATGGAAACATGTTGGAACGAAAATGTAGAAAATCGACTAAAAGCTAACAAATTATGTGAAACCTTTAAAGAATGGCAATTTATTTATTAAAATTAGTACAATTATGTACATTTGAATGAATCGTTTTCAATTAAAGGACTTGTAAACAAACAAACTTTGGAAGGAATGTACGGATCTTTAGCAAGTATATCAGATTATAAAGATATTCTTTCAAAGGTAAATGAATCTGAATTTAATATACTTGAAACCAACAACAAATCTAACCAAGATTCTTCCGTTGGTAGTAGTTTGATTCCTATTGATCTTCTGGATTTAAGATCGAGTCTTAAGTTATTTCAGAATAAATTAGAAACTATTTGCATGTTTAAACTACGGCTTTCAAATAAATTGATATATTTACTAGATTTTTTTGATTTTTTTTGTCAATTATTATAAAATGCACCAAAGGTGGTTTTGCACCTATTATATGTTTTTATTATGTTTTTTTAAAATTTTCTAAGTTTTTATAAGTTTTGTATATAAATTTTTTGACACCAATTTTTTCACGTTAAAGTTAATATTAAGGTTAGGATTAGGGTTCGGGAAGGGTTTTTGAGGGCGTAAAGCATTTTTACTTAGAACACCTTACACCGATTAATTAGCCAGTTTTTGAGATAATATATACATAGGTGTAAAATACCATAGGTGCGTTTTAGTAAAATTCTTTTTTGTCTATTTTTCGTGTAATGATATTTTTTTATTAAATAAAATCATAAATACAGTATAAAGAAGTATTTTCTATACAGTATAAAAATAAATTTGCAATTATATTAATTCAACCCAGTGATATATCGTGCTAACCACATCACATGATTAAACATTCGGCATAAATTATGGTTAGTGTTAAGGTTAGGTGATATTTTAGGCCATTTTGTTAACGCTAGTAATCCTTAAATAGCAATTGATTTCTGATTATCGATTTACGTATATTGATGGAGGTGTTTGATTGACAAGCTTTCCTGTTTCAAACTTTCAAGTAAGAATTGATATTTCTCCCTTTATATAACATGTTACAATTAGTAGTCTTATTATCCTTTTCTTATAGCCAACAAAAAATTAGCGAAAATAAATCACCAAAAATTAATACCAGTATGTTTTTCAGTTAAGAAATAACGATATGGTTCATCATATATCACTTTTATGTCGAATTTTAACTATTATAATTTACACATTATTTATGTGTGTTTCAAACGAAAGAGACTTGCGATGTCTTTTGACATTCCATTTAATATTATTCCACGCATTATTATTCCTGATTGTAATTTGCAGCAATTTGAAAAAATTGCATTTGCAAATCCTAGCAACCTTCGAATGATCCTTATCAAAGGTAGACTTGAAATAATGCCACCAGTTCCAGTTCACTTTAAATTCGGTATGTTATGTTCTGGCATGATTTATTTATTGTATTGAGTTGAAATTCAATGGATATTGTCAAATTATGGTAAAAATTATTATTAGGTCAAAAACAAATGGAAATTATTGGTCAAGTTTATAACTGGTGCTGTGCCAATAAGAGTTTAGTTGGGCATACTAGTTCTTCTAGGGTATATTACACCAAACATAAATCTTTTTTTATATTGCTAAAACTACAATAATTTGATTTTAGTGTGCATTTAGATTGCTTAATCTGGAAGATCCTAATGATCCCAATAAAACTACTATCCTAGGCCCTGATGCCACCTCTGTCATCTTTAAAGCCAGGTTTCTGAATGTTACTACAGTATTTATGCTCTTATAATTGTTAATTTATTTTATTCGCTATTACAGATGGAATAATCTATCTGATGATGAAAAAAAAGAAGCATTCCCACCAATTGCTCCGAATTTTGTTGTTGAGTTGCGTTTACCAGACAGTTCCCTTGAGGACATGCACCAAAAAAATGTTATATTGGATGGATGCGGGAGTAGAAGTAAATTAATAATAATCAATATTTGTTTATTAATTATTTGGGTGTTTTTTTGTTTTTAATCATTATAATTATAATATTAGGAAGGAATATTAATAGACACAATCGTAAATCAACCAGAAGTTAAAATCTATACCATTAACCCTGATACTAATAATGTCAGCTGTCAAACACTGATAAATCCTGCTCAGATTGCATCACAAGTCCTTATCGGATTTAAATTGGATATGCAAAAGATCTACAGTATTAACGAAGAATATATTTAATGAGGTTTTCTCCTTAGATAATCAAGCATTAATAAAATAGCTCATTAGCTTAATTGTTAATTTTTGGCCCATGATTTTTTGGTTTTCTTAATGATAGAATTAAGCACATAATTCCTACTACCACAGTTTTTCAATTCTCATAAATCAAATCAAGAATGAATTACTAGAATTTAGAATGTTCGTCTTAATTTCAATGTGTATCATATTTAGAGATGGGCAAAGTAATTTACTTATTACGTAAAAGTTAAATCACACCATACGACAATTTATTAATAATATACACTTACAACTAATATCGCATAACGTGATTTAACTTTTACGTAACCTTGCCCATCTTTAATCATATTGTAAATGCGGAGTACAAATGCTTACATCAAAATAACAGCAGAGACAGTGCCCGACCCAGAGCGAATCCCTCTACCCTGTGATCAATCACAAATTAAATTATTTATATTGAATTCAATTGTGATGGATATAATCCCTCACCAGTTTTAATATATGTGTAACATTAACGGTCTCTGCTGTTCATCAAAATAATGAATCTATTTCACAAGTCGTTCACATTATCGTAGAATTTGAACCAGCTTAAGAAATAGGAATGGTATCATAATTAGATAAATAATAGTTATTTTTTTTCATTTGTATATAACCAGATTTTTAAAAGTTACTATGAAATGCCAATATAACTTTGAAATATAAAGACTTTTATTTCATATTGCGTAGAGATGCAGTAAAATAAGAATAATTAAATGAAAATTGACAATTGTATACATTTTAATTATCATGATTTGTATTTTCACTGGTGTTATGATTCTTTATAGCATCCGCATAAGCGATGGTGCCTAATTTCCTATCAGTGCACAAAATTGTGGCATGACGTGTCCTGATATTTTTCCGGTGATCTTTTTATTAAACGGAATTTAGAATCTA